ATGGTTATTCGGGCAATATCACGATTTGTTGTCTGCCCTCGGGCTGTTGGTCATGATAAATGTAGACTTACAGCGGGCAAATCTTATTCGAAATCAAATTCCGAAACTGAATTCAATGCTTATTTCCCATGACTAAAACCAAGACTCCTTTTAAATATTTTATTTTTGAAAAAAAAATATTGACCGATTAAAAAAAAAAAACTATTATCACCTAAGATAATTTTCCTTATCGAAAATATTGGCAAGTAGATAAGTTATTCCAATTTAAGCATTGTAAACAATACACATTACAATAAACACTACCGTACATCTGATCCTGGTTAATATATGGCTGCATACATTTATCCCTCAATTACCTTCCAAACTTTACTAATTACCGACATTCACGACTCACAATCATCGTTGCTTGAAATACAATTATCCAACTTTATTTTTTTTATCTTACAATCATTGCAAGTAGTTCTAACACTGTTTCAGCTCTTAACTGTAAACAACTAATTTTAATTTACACGCAACACTACTTCTTCTGCTATTGATCATTTTTATTAAGTATATGCGCATATATTATAGATCATCTTCCAATAATATAAGACGAATAAAATAAAATAATATAAATGTTTCATAAAAGCAAACAACTATACATGTGATTTTCAATATTCCAACTGGCAACGTATGTTTAAATCCTAGTTAACTCAAATTTAGGAAAGACTCCTTCATTAAAAGTAAAAACTTGGCTATAAACAAACGAAAGTTTCATCAATCTCATATCTCATTAAATCAGCCATATGTTACGTAATACCCTAACAATGACATACACGTTGCTATCCCAATGATGGAATAAGATAATAACTCATTCTAAAACGACATTTCACTTAAGGTAGATATGCAGTTTACCTGACAGGTATTTTAATTAGTTAATTAGGAAACCAAGATGACCTCCCTTGTCAACAACACTATATATTTTCGGAAAGCTTATTATATGAATTTTAAAATTTTGTTAGTATGTTTTGTTTATGGACAATATAGTTTGAAATATGCACAAAAATGTGCTTTTTTGGTCAAAAGTGATTTAAAAAAAATTGCTTCTAAACCATGCTTCTGTTTCCTGTCAAAATTGGTTTACGGGTACATCTGTTTACTATGACGAAAGTGCCGTCTTGAAAACTGTCTACCAGTTGTCAATTTTGCAGGGCAGCAGCTCAAATTTCGCTACTTCAAGTTTATGCAAAAAATAACACCCAGGCTAGATGTCTGTACGATTGTTGTAACACTGTTCAACCAAAAACAATGCCCCGACGGCGTTTTGAAGATAAACACATTGTCAAACATTTGTGAAAATTTCAAAACAAAAGGTCAAAGCGTCTAGGATGTGCACTAAAAAGAAGCTGGGATAATTGCTAATTTGCATAACAATTCACTCAGTAAGAAGTTTGCTAATAATGCTCATAATTTAAATGGATGTAACAGTTCGAATTTAAATGTATTGTCGTTTTGTAAAAAGTTAAATATAGTGCATTATATGGAGATCCCGTCATTCCTGTTTTTCGCCATGTTTCTTTTTTATTATTTATGTACAGCTCTGCTAAATCTTGCTAAGCATTCAAAAGAGAGAATGTTTGTACCTTTTATCTAGATTTTAAAATCGTCTTTTGAGTATGTTCCTCTATTCACAATTCTACAAGATGTCTATAGCCAAGACTGTTTGAATAATAATAATAATAAAAACAATTCATACTCAAGTGCCCACAAACCTGCATCTTTACCTTAAAAGTAAAAAGCACAACATGAATTTTTATATATTCTCCAATATATTGAATTTGTATACATGGAATCTAGCCACTATGATATTACTTCACGTAAATACTCGCTGTCAAATGAAAGGTTAAGCGAAACGTACGTTACCAAATACTGCTGCTTATGAACTGCGATATGCTCTATAAACATGGCCAATGTCCAAAGTAATTATTTGATTGTCCGACATTATATCGCATATAGCAAATGCTTCAGGATCCAACGTCATCTATTATGACCAGGTTAATTGCGTATTTTTTGTGGTGAAATATGCGGTAATCCTACAAATATATTGTTTACAAATAGCAGATGTGTATCGCATGTATTTATATTTATAACGTGCGAACACGAGCACAACATCGCCACACGTTTTGTTGGTGCAATATATGTTGATAACAATGTATGTTACTGAAATATATG